TTTGATTTAAGTGTACTAAATTGCATTTGATTTATTCATTCAATATTTGACGAATTCCGTGACATTGCTCGTTACACTGTAAACTTATCTTGTGTAGCATTTTGAATGTACAAAAATTAAAGGGTTTGTTTAATTTTCATTGGAATAAAAGATAGATGAATGCTTTCGCCTTCATTTGATTACCAGAAAAATGAAAATACACAACACAGAATTTCTAAAAAATTTTTTATGAATTCGATTAATTAGATATGTTTTTGATTAAACCATTAAAATGGAATACAGAAAAATAAAAAAAATAAAAAAGAAAGGGTAGAATTTGGGCCCTAAGAATGTAATTTTTTACTTTTAATAGGCCTAAATTGCTGTTAAATTAAACAAGTTTCATGATTTTAATTAATTAGACATGTTTTTTGTTAAAATTTAGTATAATCATCCAGAAAAATTTAAACGAAAAAAAAAAACTGAATGCAGAAAAATTAAAACGGAAAAAAAGATTTTGGAAAAAATAAAACTTAGGCTAATTTGGGAAAAATAAAACGGATTTCATTAATGTATGTTTTAAAGTTTAGAATTAGACAGCCTTGAGTTGTGTAGACAATTGCACAGTGAAAATTATCCCAACGCACCACCTAGTGTCCAACCTACTCTAATACTAATATAAGCTGTTTAAATGTGAACAAGGGATTTACAACATTAAAGAAATCCTTTATTTATAACATGTACATGAAAAATCTAAAAGATTAGACACAACTCTGGGACATGGTCGTGCAGCAGCGAGCAACAGTGAAAGGAACCTCAAGGTTGTAAATGTGTGAAATTGTATAGGGCCCCATTCCTGTATTTTGCCTGGGGCCCCCAAATCACTAAATCCGCCCCTGGCCATGCATTATCATGCTAAGTAGTTTCGGTTTCACAACGAAACACACAGCGTCTCCACGACATGGCGGCGGCAGCAACAATATTACAGCGAGAATAAAAGTTACGCCTTCTTTCTTTGCGTGAACATTTGGGCGGCGTTATGCAAATCTTCCCACATAGTGATGTAGACATGTGGGGGCGTGTTAGAACGAGCCGTTTTAGGTAGGAGTGTCTGACTCTTAACTTTTATAAAGAATATCTCTTTGGGTTTGAGACTTTAGTCTTTGCAACTTTAGGGATCTTATCTATTCACAAACAACTTGTAACACTCCAAAAAGAAAGGACAATTTGAAATTGCATCGTATGACCCCTTTAATGAATTAATTAATTTATTTTGGCACTATATAGGCTACATTCATTGCAAATTATGAAAATTAAAAGTACTTTTTTTAGTACTTTAGTTTGTATTTATTTATTTTTGGGTGGGGGAGTGGGGTTGAGTACCACCACTTCTTTTTTTCTACAACAAGCATTGATTGTGTATCATATGTACGCCAAACACGTGCATATCATATGCACGCCAAAGTCAATTTCTGCGTGTGAATCTCATGCCAAATAGAAACAGAAAATCGTGCTATACGCACTTTCATGAGACTGGACTCATTTGTTTTTTTTAAATGCCATATCTGTCACACGCTCTCAACAGCTCACAATTATAAACAAAGTTAAAAGGGTCATATGATGCGATTTCAATTTTTCCTTTCTCTTTGGAGTGTTACAAGCTCTTGGTGCATAAAGAAGATCTGTAAAGTTGCAAAGACTAAAGTCTCAAATCCAAAGAGATATACTTTATAAAAGTTAAGAGTCAGCCACACCTACCTAAAACGGCTCGTTCTAACATGCCCCCACATGTCTACATCACTATGTGGGAAGATTTGCATAACACCTCCCCAATGTGCACGCAAAGAAAGAAGGCATAACTTTTATTCTCGCTGTAGTATTGTTGCCGCCACCATGTCGTGAAGACGCTGTGTTTTGTTGTGAAAGCAAAACTACTTTGTTTGGCCTTCCAAAAGAGGACGATATCCGCTTCGTCATGCCTGGAGCTGATCCGTGCTGGTCGCTGAGGAAATACATCAACTTCACGCTGTGGATCGCCAAATCGGCTTTCACCGTGGACGAAGCGGAGTCCAGCCCGGGGTCGTCACATGTGGTTGCCACAAGCCCGCCGGACGCTTCTTCGTCGAATCCACTGGCCGCCGCTCGCTCACTCAAGGCCGCCGTGTGTGACGCTGTGTTTCGTTGTGAAAGCAAAACTACTTTGTTTGGCCTTCAACTCAAACAAATACTGTAAGTACTTTTTAATATATAAAGAATTTGCCACTGACGATTGAAACGTGAGTTTTGAGCAGTGTAGAGTAGCGCTAGTTGTTTGTCATTTCTCCGATCACAAATGCAGACAGGATTTTATGTTTACGCAGCGCGATGCAACACATAAAAAGACAGTATAAGTCATTATAATCCGTAATTATGTCTCCACTGGATGCAACAAATGCCTCGTTTATAATGGGTTTTAATGTTGTTGTCTCGTCTCTCCGGCCGGAACAAGGCATCACAATATGGATTTCCGTCACACGGTTGAAGTATTCGGCCAATCACAACGCACTGGATAGCTGGCCAATCACAGCACACCTCGCTTTTCAGACCGATGAGCTTTGTAAAAATCGACTTTTTTTAGCTTTTAGTTTTAATTACTTTTTCTTATTTGTGTATGTTTGAATTGTTTTTTGTTTTATTTTTTTTTTGTTTTCATTTAAATGTTTTAGTTTTGAAATATTGTTGTATGCATTTGTCATTTTTATTTAATTTATTTTATTTTCTTAAATGTGTGTGTATATATATAGTATTTATAGAGTTTTAGCTTTTAGTTTTAATTACTTTTTCTTATTTGTGTATGTTTGAATTGTTTTTTGTTTTATTTTTTTTTTGTTTTCATTTAAATGTTTTAGTTTTGAAATATTGTTGTATGCATTTGTCATTTTTATTTAATTTATTTTATTTTCTTAAATGTGTGTGTATATATATAGTATTTATAGAGTTTTAGCTTTTAGTTTTAATTACTTTTTCTTATTTGTAAGTCGCTTTGGATAAAAGCGTCTGCTAAATGACTAAAAGTAAAATTAAAGTAAAAGAAACAATAATGTACAGTATGTGGAAAATAATGTGTTTTTTTTTACCTTAAACCGCATAAACACATTTCATAACACCGAATACACAAAATAATGTTCTTTTTAGCAACATCATATGACCCCTTTAAGTGTGATCAAATTTCTTTCTGAAACACATCGATTTTTACGATTTTATCGATTTATTTTTATCGGTCTGAAAAGTGAGGTGTGCTCTGATTGGCCAGCTATCCAGTGCGTTGTGATTGGCCGAATACCTCAAGCGTGTGATGGAAATGTTACGCCCCTCACCATACTGTGATGATGCCCTGTCCGGCCGGAGCGATGATTCAAAAACGTGAAAACCCATTATAAACGAGGCATTCGTTGCATTCAGTGGGGACATAATTATGGATTATAATGGCTTATACTGTCTTTTTACGAGGTGCGTTACATAAAACCATGTCTGCATTTGTGATCGGAGAAATGACAAACAACAAGCCCTACTCTACACTGCTCAAAAAACTCGCTTTAAATATAAAAAACGTACTTGCAGTCTGTGAGTCAGAACAGCCGGCATTGTAGTCTACTCTACCAGGATCAGCGTCACACACGGCGGCCTTGAGTGAGCAGAGGCCGGGGGCTTGAGAACGGCGTGGCTGGTGGATTCGACAAAGGAGCGTCCGGCGGGCTTGTGACAACCACATGTGACGACCCCGGGCTGGACTCCGCTTCGTCCACGGTGAAAGCCAATCTGGCGATCCACAGCGTGAAGTTGATGTATTTCCTCAGCGACCAGCACGGATCAGCTCTAGGCATGACGAAGCGGATATCATCCTCTTTTGGAAGACCAAACAAAGTAGTTTTGCTTTCACAACAAAACACAGCGTCTTCACGACATGGCAGCAGCAACAATACTACAGCGAGAATAAAAGTTACACCTTCTTTCTTTGCGTGAACATTTGGGAGGTGTTATGCAAATCTTCCCACATTGTGACGTAGACATGTGGGGGGGTGCTAGAACGAGCCGTTTTAGGTAGGCGTGGTTGACTCTTAACTTTTATAAAGAATATCTCTTTGGATTTGAGTCTTTAGTCTTTGCAACTTTACAGATCTTCTTTATGCACCAAGAGCTTGTAACACTCCAAAGAGAAAGGAAAAATTGAAATCGCATCATATGACCCCTTTAAGATGTCTGCGTGAACTTGATACGACTGACTTTATACTCCACTAAAAGTCACCCAATCAACAGCTGATTCGAAACCACTGAGCAAAAATTTGAAAAGTGAAAGTTAGTAAAGAGAAAGATCCTGCATTTGAGTTCCGCGGATACAAACATTTGATCTAATGAATGACATTGACATTTTTAAGTGCACGAATGCTTTCTGGGTTATGTGAGCATAACAGATGGAAAGCGATAGTAAATGAAGATAAAGGTCTCAGACTGTTATTAGATCTGTGATTCACGTATATTATATAGGCTTTCTGTTTGATCATTTTGTTGTCATTGCTAAGTCTGTGAACAGGCTGTTGTCAATATTACTCCGTTTATTTTTGAGATTACTGACAGCAAATCAGCATATTAGAATGATTTCTGAAGGATCATGTGACATTGAAGACTGATGCTGATAATTCAGCTTTGCATCACAGGAATAAATTACATTTTAAACTAAATTAAAACAGAAAAAGATTGTTTTCAATTGTAATAATATTTCACAGTATTACTGTTTATACTGTACTGCATTTTTAATCAATTAAATTCAGCCTTGGTGAGCAGAAGAGACTTCCTTCATAAAAAAGATAAAGAAAAGAAAAGAAAAAACAATAATAACTGACCCCAAACTTTTGAATGGTAGTATGGAATGGTATAAAGTAATTAGACCAAATGAAACCTGCATTAAACTGCTGGAACAAACATTTTCTAAATTATTGAATACAAATTAATGGTATATATCACTGTAAATCTGTATACTTTGAAAGTAATGTTATCAAAGAATTATCAGGTAATTTTAAGATTTCGTCATATTTGGTTGTGCATCATTTTTGTCTTTACAGTACTTTATATATATATATATATTTTAAACTGTATTCTCCATGAGACTCTGCAGCAGGTTTCCAGACGGCAGATCTCCAGCACGGTCCGCAGGCAGCTGGTCAACAAGGTGCCAGACAAACAGAAACTCTTTCAGGTATGTATGTAGTTTTTATGTAATATATTGTGTTTTCTGTAATCTATCAAATGACAAGCTAATGTTCTTGACTCCTGATATCTTTACTAATCATTTACATTCACTCTAAAGGTCTTGTTCACACGTTTGTGTGATTTAAAAAAAAAATTTTTTTTATAGGTGCTTATCAAAATGTTGATTTATTTTTCATATTTAGGAGGCTAATGGGATGCCAGTTCATCTGAAGGGAGGAGTCAGTGATGCTGTACTTTACCGTGCAACTATGGGTCTCACAGTGCTAGGTATGTTATTGTGTCGTGGGTCGTTGCTGCAGTATACTGTATGTTTGCTTAGGTCCTACCACATGTCTATATATGGCAAATAGTTTTTTGTACAAGCTGCATAATTTGACATGATGTTTAATACGTGCCTTAGCAAGCACAGATTTTTATTTGAGTTAATACTCATAGTAAGCTCTAATTGCTGATCACTCATGTGTCTCTTTTTTTTTTAGGAACTGCATATGTCATATATGAACTAGTAAAGGCAGCTCTCCCTCAGAAGAAGGGCTGATGTCAGGGACTGATGTTTCACACAGTATATTTATTTAATGTGAAAGGTAAAAGGGACCACAGTGATTTGAATGAAATAAACTGTGCCTATCATAAACAGACAGATCCTGATTGTTTTACTTTACTCGGTGACAATGAAAAGATTTGAAAAAAATTAAAAGGGGAAAAAAATTGCATAATAAGATTATTTTAGTGCGCTTAAAATCGTTTCACTGCACATTCATTTTCTTCATGCAAAGTGTAATTTTTTTTAAGGACTCCCAAAATCAAAAGGGAAAAAAAAATCTATATTTTGCACAAAGAAAATTAATGCACAGTGCGTGTTCTGTATGCAGAACGTTGCATTTCTAGTTATTGATGTGGTTTAGTTAGTCTTCTGATTGTAGGCCCCTCCTGTGAATAATATTTTAATTATGTGATAATATTCTTCTCATAAAGCATGAGAAGACAACAAACAGCTAAACTATGTTTTTCCTTCTGAAAGTGTATGTGATGTTTGAAGTTAGTGTTCATTGATGAAGGGTGTTTGTGACTCACGGCGCAGCATGTTTTTTGGATGTCTTCATTGGTTCCCAAGAAACAAACAGCAATGTGCACTTCCTTTTTGTACTTCAAAACAATGTGTTTTGAAATCATTTCCAAATGCATGCGTATACATCAGAGAAATGTTTTCCCTGCTAGAGGTTTAAATGTACAGGAACGATTGATCATTTGAGCTCAGTATAGCCCGCCTCAGCATTGGTGTTCTATACAGTTGAGTTCATATGGAAATTTATCCCATGCATTACGAACAACATGTCCTTTGTGTCCCGAGAAAAGATGAAGCTGGAACAGGCATGCAAATAATTGCATGCTAATTATAAAACTATAAAGCACAGATCATTAATTCTGCAAGCAATCTATAAGGAGCATTAGAAGTTCAAGCTTCCCGTTGATGAATAGCTCTGTTAGATGTTTCTCTCTAACAATGGGAATTATGAGATAATGATTGAATTAAAAACAGTCTGGAACTCAGCTGAAAAAACTAATAAACTTCATGATCAAAAATCTAACTCTGCCCTGACTCCCAGTTGACATCCATGTGTTTCTAAATGGCTAAATGTTTATTCATCAGATGGGTAACAGAAACCTCTTCTTTATGATTTAATAATGAGATCAGTGGTGTAGTTTGGGTGGGGGAAATATGAATATGTTGTGTTGAACGTCTCTATCAGCTTTGTGTGTTACCCGACTTAACCACTAGAGGGATACATGTTCAAATAAATGGAAATGCCTCGTTGAAAAACTGATCTACAGGCTCTAAGTTCAACTGTCAGTGGTACTGCGATGGTACATTTCCAATAAATAATTAAATAAATAAATAAATAAAAATGTTATACACCATTTTTGATCCAAAAATGTGGTTTTATGTTAGTGTATTTTGCAGAGTTTCTAATATCGCTGATATTTGTGTTTTGAACTTTTTTTATTATTAGCTGGTCCAGTCCACCCAGCAACAGGCTATACTCTTGTTTTTTTCAATATCACAGAGAGAGAGAGAGAGAGAGAGAGAAAAAAAAAGACAATACATTTTTTTAAACAAGTTTAACTAACCACAAAAGTCCGTACTTTTCAAAATAGACCGAACCGAAAAGTGGTGACAATTGGCTTGAGGATGTTACCATAGCAACCGCTCGAGCGCTTAACTCCGTTATGACCGTTGGACGATACATCGTAAACAAGTGTAACGTTAATTATTTATGAAGACATGTGTATTTACATGTCGAAATTGTATACAAAAAAAAAAACGTTAGTGTAATTTTTTAGTTTTGCTTAAGTTGTAGATTGGGTTAACTGTGCTAGGAACACCGTAAAATCGTTTTTTGTTGTTGTTGTTGCAGCTCGAGACGAATCGCCTCAGATTGCTCTCTAAAAATGACCGACAGACATTCATTTGAAAAGGTTCGCCCACCTGAAAAATCATCGTTTAATTACTTTAATAGTTATTTACAACACCCTAACATTGTAATTGAGTTGTTTCATCGTCTATGTGTCCGCAAAAGCTATATAAATAGTCCCGAATTCGCGATTCCTTTTGAATGTCGTCAGGAGTATGTGTTCCGTAGTAATCGCCGCTGAAACCCGAGACTTCGATGAGTGACATGCAGCAGGAATGCCGAAAGTATGCGCGACTTTCCAAAAGCGCATCCCAACACACAGGCGCGTGACGTCAGAGCTCGGGGTTCGGGATCAGCCCCCTGTTAAGAAGCACATTCTAGTCTGAGATCCCGTGCATTTGGAAACAGCCTTCACGAGCTGTGGGGGTGACCAGACCCTCCTCTTCATTTCCATCTCCATCACTACAGCATCACGGAGAACCTCTGCCTTTCTGAACAGAGCTTTTAAACCCCTTTGCGTCTGGGCGAAATTCCCACCTTCATCCACCAGTTTTGTGATGTATTGAAAGCTTTTGGAAACTTTGGGGAGTTTGGTAAGTCTTGACGTGGAGTCAAGTTTTTTTTCGTTTATTGATAAACCTATGAATACATATTTTATGAATGAAGATGTTATTGCTCTTGTATATGAGACGTAGTAGATACATGTGATGTGAAATGATGAGTGTGAGCACACTGACCCATTTTTCAGCAGCTCTGATCACTTTTTTCCATAGACCTTTGTATGGTGATTTCATTTTTTCCACCACTCTGTCATTGTGCTCTTTTAAAGTAGTTTGGGATGATACAGATTTATTTTGTTTTGGTGGGAAATCTAGACCACTTGTAAGATTCATAAACCCTCTAGGACTTTCTTTGCTAAGCATTTTTATGTTTATTTGCCATGCTTAAATAATGCAGGTAAAGCGGGACTGTTGGTAAAGTTCCTTTCTCTGTTCAGTGTGGTGGACATATGGACAAAAAGTGTCCCACTTTACCTGTTTTCACCATATGATGAGATTTTTGAGACTTACGTTTGATGTTTCATTCAACTTTACTTGATTTCTTATGCTATTACAACACCAAAGCCAGGCACAGTGCATTGTTAAAGGTTTCACTCACACTTTGCACGTCCTTTCACCTTTTTTATTCATTGAATAAAAAACAAATTTTTGCCCTAGTTGGTCCAAAATGGCTCTGCAGTGTGACAAATGCCTTTTTAAAAGTGCAGATGTAGTCTCTCGATTAATATGGGGTCATGTATAATGACTGGAAAAATGTTGAGTAAAGATCCACACTTGAGTAAAAGTTCCCCACTTCAAGTTTTCGATTATGTATATCACATCACACTGCTTGAAATTAGTTTTGCCGAGTGAAAACAAATTACTTAGTAATATTAATGAACAACATGTACCTATTGTGCTCATATTTTGTGAGCTGCTTGTTCTTACACTGGTAATTATTTAAAGTAACATGCAATATGTGTAACACAGAGACCAAGCACATTGCCAAAGTTCAGAGGCAGAGTGGTGAGTTGCTCTCAGCATGAATATCAGGATGTAAAGTCTGAATTTTTCCAGGCACAACAGGGGGCGCAGGAGCCCTGCAGAAAAGTTTTTCAACCCCTGATGTGTAGGATCCTAAATCAGGCAAATTTCCAGACAATTGCATACAGTCTATGAACTCACAGTTTCCGACGTTAAACAGACGAATCAGCAGATTACACACAGCATATGCAGTTTATAATTGTTTTTCTGTAGGGAATGTTTTTCTAAGACCCACAGTGAGTTATTTTACTTAGTGTCCTTGTTTTAGGAAATATTTGGACCATGGAAAACCAATTTTTCCTCTCTTGACCAGAGAACCAGCTGGAATTTTGAAAAAAATAAAATCAGATTTGAATGAGATCTCTTGCAGTGAACTGTGCTGGAGTGGAGTGTATAGTCTTTTTTTTGGGATTGATTTATGAGCAAAGTATGTGTGTAATTTGGTTGATTTTTCAGATTGATTGATGTTCTGCTGATACTGGGGTGAAGATGTCGGTCACGCGTTTGGCAGCGGCCGCTCTCCTAACACTCTCAGTCCTTACATCAGTGAGAGCTCAAGGTAAAAAAAAACAAACCCTACAAATCTCTCCCTATTCACACTGGTAAATTAAAAATAAAACAGTTTAGATCATAGTCTATTATTAGTATTTTAAAATATATAAATATTAACTGTACAACAACAATTGTTATTTTTAATTTTCATTTCATTGTTTAATTTTCATTTCATTCATATGTCCATACAAATGAACAAAAATATAGGAGAAAAATTGCTTATATTCACATTAATTTATTCACAATAATGTGAATAAATGTGCATTTCGATGTGTAATGTCTCTGTTTAGACACTAGGTTGGACACTGATCGAGGACTTTTACTGTCCTAAAAGATTCCTTTTAATCATTTGGCGGTGTTTATGCTAGTGGAAATGGAAACGCATGACAGCACAGGATATTTAATTACACCTAACTGTGTTTTCCAGCAACTAATTCTTCAGAAATATCTACTGTAATGATTTTCAAGAACATTCTGTCTAAGGCCAAATCCAGTAAAGGTTAAGTATTGAATAGGACTTGGTTTTAAATATTTTCTGTATGCTTAGGACCCATGATCAGCTGCAGGATACCAGACATCTCAGCCAGACAGATTCACATTCAACTTTTTCCTCTAGTAAAACACCTTTTCATGTATTTTATTTCATGTATTTATGTGTTTCAGTAAGTGAGCTCTTGGTAGGTTTGAACAGTCTTGAAGGCAGTAAAACTTTGATTTAACCATTTCAGATCACTGAATAAAAGCATTAAATCGTACATTGCCAGTGTTCAGTGGAAAGTATAGTGGAATATTTTACAGCTTTTATTTGAAAAAAAAAAGACAACTTAACGTTGAGGCCAAGTTTCCCTTCTCCGCTTTCTGCACTCTTAGGAAACAAAAAGACAAAATATGAGCACCTTTTTTCCTCTCTCTCTCCTAGGAAAGTGAGAGCAAGAAGTAATTGTGTTACTTCTCAATGCTGCATTATGCAAAAATAAGAAAAGCCTTTGTTTAAA